TCTTTCAGATTTTAGCATAATATTCCAAACTAGGTCATGAACAAAGTATGGAGCGGTTGGATTATTGGATCTAGGAAGATGATGGACCAATCAATGGGAGTGTTATTCCCTAAATGAGTAGATCAGTTGAGGTTAGGAGGCTAATCAAAAAGCAACCTCACTAGATAAATTCAATAGAGTGTCGTTAGAATTAATTAAATTATAAAAAGAGAAAAGGAAAAGAGAAATAAGGAAACACTAATATCTGTTGTTGTCCTGGCCAGTCCACATCTCGTCCAATATTTGTACATAATCAACGATCAATAATTTTATGAGGAAACACTAACATGCTAAATCCTTAATATTAATGGTAATCTAACACACAAAAGAACAAGAAACAGAGCAATAAAGAAGAAGAAGAGGAGTATGCTTGGATTGTTATTTTTTTAATTTTCCTGTGGAAAGATCCTAACTTTATGGCACAGATTCAAAGATATAATTTCAATTTTCAACAACATTCGCTACCAACCTTTGTTATTTATCGCAATCAAGATATGAAACAGAGCAGGAAAATACTAGAGATATCGCGACGGTGACGCAACGGTGATAAAAGACGACGGAGCGAGATCACGGCGGAGAGAGAAGTTTTTTTCGTTTGTGACTTGTGTGAATGAAAGAGAGAGATGGAGAAAGTAATATTGTTTTATTAATCTATAACAAAATCGTTGCGCGAACACTTTTCACTATACTTTTTCCTTCAAATTATAGGCTAAAATTGTAAATTATTACTATAATAAATTAGATGTTAATAAAATCTTTTTTCGTGGGTCTTTCTAGTGGGACTCCCGAATGGGCTCAATATAAAATAATTTAGTCTAGAAATTTTTTATTTACAAAATTAAACAAGACTACTTAAAAAAACCAATTATCCTAGACTAATTAAAAAAAAACAATTATCCTTTTTTTAGTAGAAAAGAATTGACTAGGGAAATAATTTAGGTTTTAACGGAGGTTTTTTCTTTTTTTAATTACAATACACGGTAATAAACATGTGTTTATCAAGGTGATCTTTATTTGTTTTCTCACGTTATAACCGAATCAGGGGCCTTTTTGTATGGGAATTGGTTTTGGTTCAAATTATTTTGTTTCTCGAGATACTGTACGACCATTATTTGTTTTCTGATACATGAACAGGTTGTCAAAGATTAAAGATCTCTAGTAACGTCGTTTTTTAAACATGCATGATTAGCTAATTAAAATAGTCAAAACTTATTGAAACTATGGACTTTGTTGTCTCTCTAATGGTCACATATTATAATTATATCAAAGCCCACTTTGTGGGAATAAAAAGACTGTAGCAGTTAACACTTGTGACTCTTTTAGATAAGCTTCATCCTAGGTAACCTCATGAAAAGTATTGTTCTGATATACTGGTCATATTTTAGTTGAATCATTAGGTTTTGTAAAAATAGAGGAAGACAGAGAGAAGCCATTGTAATGGGCCAATACATTTGAAATCGTATAAATTTCCATCAATATAAAGAAGCCCAAGTTAAAACGTAAGCATGGATATGTATTGTTTTTGGTTTTGACGGACTGCATCAATATCATAAATTAAATCTGTACTTTTATGTCCGTTTGTTCCTATTTCAATTGATCATGTCATGTTTATTTTGACATTTATTTTTGTTTCTCGATGTCACATTTGAATACGAGTTTGTTCATTAAAAAACGGATGCAACATATAGCAGATTGGTATTAATGATATGCCATGTAACTACTTTATTAAATGATCAAATTAATTAATTTTATTTTAATTAATAATATAATTTTTATTCAAAATATGAATTAAAAATGACATAATTACAGAAAATATGTTTTGGTCCTAAATATGAAAATCTTGGTTCCTAATTTCGGTTCCACAATTTCGTAAAATTAGCCGACAATACAAAACTTTTGTGTTTTAGGGTTTAATACGATTCTGTTGTTTATATAGTTGATTCAACCTGAAAAATCGGATTCCATGATTTTGGGTGCCTAACTCTCTGTGATTTTGATACCAAACACAAGTCTACGGTTATAACGCAAGTTTCCTAAAGCTGTTTGCCATTTTAATTTTGTGTCAAACCAAACTAATGATTTTTCTATATTCACACAAAAAGATATAACATTATTTATGCTTTGGTTGTACATTTCTCAAACTCTATTTTAATTATATCTAAATATCATTTTGATTGCAATCAATTTTATATATTTTCTGGTATCCTAATAACATAATAAATTTGACGGAACAACCAACATGTAGATGGTAGCACCGAAATAATTCATTTGGATGTAGAAACGAACAACCCCCTTAGCCTTGATCCTTCATTGAACACCAAAATTTGTAGGTTATATCTATCAAATTTAGCTCGATAGCTCATTTTACTGGCTATGTCAATTATATTATTGTTATTATTATTATTTCATGAACAATTATTCTATATTTATGCATAATTTTCTTTAAGTTACATCGAAGTTTGCTATTCTGAAAATCCTAATTCAATATCATATACTAGTATATGAAGTTCAAACTAATCCCATGATATCATATCCACCGTATGTACTAACCATTGCCTATGAGCAAAATAAAGATACCAAAAAAAATAAAAAAATAAAAAATAAATAAAGATACCATCATATTGAAACGATTTGACTAATGACACAAATTTATTCAGATTTTTTTTATTTTATTTTACATTTCGTAAATGATCAAGTAATCATATCCTCTATAAAAAAAATGGAACAATATCAGATAGGGTAAACTGTCACCATATATATATGTGTAACTTTGATATTTCGTAAGTCTAACTTATAAGAAAGGATGACTTGTAATTCTAAAACTCTAGAAATATTGAGGTTTGAGGCATTTCTATAAGTTTGAGATTTTCAATTCTTCCTAATGTATGGGGTTAGGTATTTTTTCTGTCGCTTTACCAAAATGTTTTGACGTTTCCAAGAAGTTTTAGCTTGTTATGTCATTGTTGCATAATTTATGACCTACCAAACCTAAGAAGACCAAAATCAGATTTTTTAGACAGTCCTCTTTCCTTTTTAATTAAAATATGTTTTGGTTGAATTGGCATAGATTTAAAAAAATAAGTAAAATAATCGTTTGCTAATTAGTAAGAATAGGACCCATGAAATATGTATACAAAATTAAAATATTTTGTGACATAGAAAAAATATTTTGTTGATATACGTTACGTCATAGAAAAATCCATCGGAATTCAGAACCATGCATATGACTCATTAATTAAATACACAATAAAATATTTTCTCTTCATTTTTTGACATTATAATCTGACTCCTAATTTTGAGAATTGCGTACACGATAAAATTATAAATGGAAAAATGACGAATTTTGGAATTAATTTATGATTTACAAATGTTTTTCCTATCCAAGACATTTTTTTTTTGAGAAAGTAAAATATTTTTCTACACTAAAACTTTCTACCATACATACTCATAGAAAGCAACTAAACATCATTTATCATCTATTTAAATATAATTTAACCAATAGAAAAGAATCTATATAATATTAATAGTCATAAAACATAAAAATATAATTAATTTATCTTGGAATCTAAAAGCATCAAATAAATTGGAACAATTGTTTTCTCTCCTAAAACATCAATTAATTTATAACGGTGGATACATACATATATATATATATATATATATATATATTAGTTTTTTAATTCGTTTCAACGTTTTCTATATGTTTAGTTCATGGGTCTAAAACTAATTTTTAGGAAGAGGATATTTCACATGTAGAAACTCTCAAATTTTCAAATGGACTGTAAGCAATAGTATGTAGCCAAAATAATAAAGCTGATGAGCGATTCTTTGTCCGGAAAAAATGGATTCTTTAGGAAGACCAAGACGACTCTTACATCAAATTAGAACCACTAGCCCACTACCTCGTAGTTAAATTTTAAAATATCAAATAAACTAACACAATTGTTTTCTCTCCTAAAACATCAATAAAATTAAAACAATTGATTCGCGTTAGAAAAAAATAGTGTTTAATGAAAAAAATTAGGTGCAATGTACTGCTCTAAACTAGAAGATAGTGAGACACTATCAACGGCAACCTTCCAATTCAAGACACCTACAGTTTAGTTCTGCAACATAAAACATTACAACCAACCAAAACCTAAGAAACATGCATGCATGGAAACTTTTCGTGGCAAACACAAACAGTAACACTATCCTTACTCTCGTGTAAGGTGAAAGGTTCGATTCAATAGTCAATACCTATATTTTCTAGGCTCTTGATCTTTACGTTCACTTCTATTTGAGTGTTCCGTGTTCCAAATTCTAAGCATGTTTTGTCTATTTTGTTATTTTAACGTATCTTTAATCATTTACCTTTAATGCATTCTTGGATTGTTGTGGCCCGCATCATTCTTAAATTAACAGTTAAAAAAACTTGACTATTTACTCTAATTAAATTATTTATCTATATATTTATTAGAGTATTAACTAAACACTTCAAAACTAAATAATCTAAATATATATCATAGAAAAAAATAAATATAAAAAGACGAAAATTCTATGAATCATAATTTCAGTTAACGTATACTGGAATTCAAAGTTTTATTTTTTCACCATGTTGTAAAAATGCTTTGATATGTAATTTCTTATTTTCCAAATACTCAATTATTTCTGTATTTATAGTTAGGCACGCAATATGAATATATTTTTTTATTTTCTAAAGATGGGTTACATTTTGTTTTCTCACCTTAGAGCTCGCAAATTTCAAAGCATGTTCTTCTTAGTTACGTGATTATGTTTTTCATATATATTTAATTAAAATTAAAATAAGAAGTAATTTTAACATTATCTTTTTAAAGTAAATGTAGGTAGGTCTACCAAAGTACAAATAGTAGATATGATGGGTCAACAAAACAGGGTCAACATTTACGAGTCTATATAATTCGTATCCTCAACTCCAAAGGTCTTATGGTTCAAAACAATCTATTCTTCTTTCTAATCTCATATCATCAGTGTCTCTTGAGTACATCCTCTTCAATGGAATCCAATTGCGTTCAGTTTCTCCAGGACAAGACCATTCTTGTCACCGGTGTTCCTGGTTTCCTTGCTAAAGGTACCAACTTAGACCTGTTACCATATAATATGTTAAGTTTCATAACTTATGTTAAGCATCAAAAACAAGATTATGTGATTCATCAGTCCAATTTTTGTGTTAATTGTTTTAGTGACTATAGTTCATTATAGCAAAACATTCACACTTTATTAATTATCACTGAGTCGTATACATATATATTGTTCTTAAATAACTTAAACTTTTGATATTATATAGTATTCATTTCTTCAACCTCTTTTTTGTCGTTCATAAATAAATAATGTATAGTATTCTTTTGCTCTTTCTATTTTCATCTGGAATATGTCTAATTATAATTTTAACTAATACTATCAGTTGTGATGGTGAACCACTTCCCTTGGCTTATCCGGGGGACTTAATCATAATTAATAACTTTCAAAAATTAACTAATAATTTTTTATAAATATTATAGTGTTTGTGGAGAAAATATTGAGGCTTCAACCAAAGGTAAAGAAGCTTTTCCTTCTCTTGAGAGCACCAGACAATGAATCAGCCATGCAACGGTTTCACAGTGAGGTACAACCAAATATTTTTTTAGGGTAAGTTCTATATATATAGTATTTTGCGAAATATGATTTGACTTACATGAAATTTTAATATAACAGGTTCTTGAGAAAGATCTTTTTAGAGTGCTGAGGAACAATTTAGGTGATGCAAATCTGAAAGCTTTAGTATCAGAAAAAGTTGTACCTATACCGGGTGATATTTCAGTTGATAATATAGGAGTGAAGGACTCTGATCTCTTACAACTTATGTGGAATGAGATCGATATCATTGTTAATGTCGCCGCAACGACAAACTTTGATGAAAGGTGAGAACAGATTGTGGTCGATATATAACTTTTATCTTTATATGTTTTCTTTTAGTTTTGTATGATCGAAATCTAACTTTAAATCATGTTCCTTATGTATATACATATAAAAAAACGAAGATATGATGTTGGTCTTAGAATCAATACATTTGGACCGCTCAATGTTCTTAACTTTGCCAAGAAGTGTGTTAAAGGACAGTTGCTTCTCCATGTCTCAACGGGTGAGTTAGATAATTTTATTACTTGTTACAAAAATCATATGATATTTATTTTTATATGTGTAGTGACCAGTGCATGATTGTATTAACGGTTCATATATATATTGATAGGCACCTCAAAATTTGTATTTTTTGTAGCGTATGTGTGCGGAGAGCAATCTGGACTCTTACATGAGAAAACATTTCACATGGGAGAGACTTTGAACGGACATGGAAAATTAGTTATCGATACAGAAATGGAGATAATGAAACAAAAACTGAAAGAATTACACAAACAAGATTGTCCAGAAGAAGAGATTGCACAAACAATGAAAGATCTTGGAATGTCAAGGTCAGTGTAATTTTTTTTTTTTCAGTGTAATAATTAATAACCATACATCAGCTTTTATATTTATTGAAAGTGTCCATTGATCAAGAATCAAACTGGTCTTAATTATTAGGGCCAAGCTTCATGGATGGCCAAACACATATGTGTTTACCAAATCAATGGGAGAGATGCTTCTTGGTAACCAAAGAGAAACTCTTCCTATTGTTATCATCCGTCCCACGATGATCACTAGCACTTTTTCAGAACCATTTTCCGGTTGGATCGAAGGGTTAAGGTAAATATATATTCTTTATAGATTGATCATTTAAAACATAGATAGTGAAAATTCATGATACTCTTATGTCGTATGTGCAGAACCATAGATAGTGTGATTGTAGCATATGGCAAAGGAAGGCTTAAATGTTTTCTTGCAGATCCAAACTCAGTTCTTGATCTTGTAAGTTCAACTCAACTTAAGTAAGTTGTGATTTCTTAAACGAGAATTGTCACTGATCAGAGTTACATTCCACAGATACCTGTGGACATGGTCGCAAACGCAATGGTCAATGCTGCGGCAAGACACGCTGGGAAGTTAGGCTCTCAGACCGTTTATCATGTTGGCTCATCTTTTAAGAACCCTATCACATTCGAACAGGTTCACGATCTCGCGGCTCGCTACTTCACCAAAAACCCTCTTATAGGACGCGATGGTTCACCCATCATAGTCTCCAAAGGAACTATCCTGTCCACTATGGCTCAGTTCAGCTTCTACATGACCCTTCGTTACAAACTACCTTTGCAGGTACGTATCTTTTTGTATACTTTCTTAAATATTAATACTAACACCAAATGGTGCATGCTGAAAAATAGTGTTATTTTGTTGAAAACAAAATGAGTTTTATATTATGACAAATTCTTACGAATATATTTTGCTATACTATCAGATGTTGCGATTGATAGGTATAATTTATCCATGGTGGGATGGAAACAAATATAAAGACATTGATCGCAAAATTAAGCTGGCGATGCGACTGGTCGAGCTCTATAGACCTTATGTCTTGTTTAAGGGCATGTATGTATCATTCTTAAACTTCCCCTAATATCTATTTTGATATGCATTCTTCTAAATACTTTTTCTTATTTTGGTCGAGCTCTATAGACCTTATGTCTTGTTTTTGGTCTTTTTTTTTTGTAGATTTGATGATTCAAATACCGAGTTACTACGGTTGGAAAGAAAGGAGGTTAATAAAGAAATGAATGATGTATTCCAGTTTGATCCAAAGACTATTGATTGGGAAGATTACATCACGACTATTCATATTCCCGGCCTCATCACATATGTACTCAGAAAATAATTAAAACATTAAGATGTTAAGATGTTTATTATTTATATTTCTTGGTTACCTATAGATTATGTGAACTGAGTTAAATTGTGAATTGGTTGAGTTTGGTAACGAAAACAAGGTGTTTATTGCAATTATTAATCTACTTTTATATCTCTCATGTATTGAGTTAAGTTTTAGTTTTGATCTACGTACTAGGTTTTGTATAATCTTTAAATGTACTAAAAAATGGTTGTTAGATTTATGAATATATATTGTCATGGAAAAATGATTGCTAGTTATCCCTATATTAGTAAAAGAGAAGTACAAAATAGAATATGGGTCGGGTCAAAATTAAAAAATTAACCCGATTTTAACAATTGGATACTTCAAAATTGGATATTAAATTGGGTTTGAATACATACATCGGATACTTTCCATATCTAATTTAAGGATTGTATTATTTCCATAACTAATTTATGATTTCCTAATATTTCTCTAACTAATTTAATATAATCTATTAAAAAAAATTGTTTTTCTTCTTTCAGTTTTATTTGATCTTATTTTTAATTTATGATATTATACTATATAATATAAATATTTAATAAAAATTTAACTTTTTTTGCATATGTTGCAATTTGAATTTTTCAAAACGAACATATAATACTCAACCACCATCTGCTAAATATTTTGGAAATGGTTTAAAATCATTATAAGTATATAAGTATAACCAATATTAAAACTATTGTTACATAAGCATATTTAAAATTTCAGAATGTTTCAAAATATTATAATTAAAAGGTTCAAATATATTAAAAAATTAGAATTTAAAATATTGAAAATATTTTTTTGGAGACATATTTTTATTGATAAAATATATTATATATCAAACTATATAAATGTTAGATAGTTCACGGGTAGTTTGTTAAAATCACAATTATAATGCTAAAGCGAGTTATGAATAATGTTTTTTACGAAATGAATTCTGTTACGGGTTGGTCATTCAAAATATTATTGTAAATATGTAAGTTTTACGTATATTTCTACTTCTGCTACAAAAATGGTCAAAATGAATAATTTATCGACAAATATTTATTTCGTGCTGTTAAATTTTCACCGTGTTTTAATTGTATCAAAACTCAATATATGATTATTCACTCGCTTTTTTCTTTATTATTTCATTTAAACTTACTAGAAAAATATATGATTCACCGTAATCGATTGCACTGTAATAAATTAAAGTGTAACATATTTTAATCCGTTAAAAGTTATATATATGTAATTATTTCCCCCGCGCTGTAGCGCGGGTCCAAATCTAGTACCAAGTATAGGAGAATGCATGATCACACATGTCAGTATTGTTGTCATATAGTTCAGAACCATTATAAAGAGAACTTATGCTTCTAATTATGTATGATCAAGAACTTTGATTTCTCAGTGTTAAGCGTTAAACACGTTTCTGTATGCTGAGGCACAAAAACAAAATATTATGTTCAAAATTCAAGTATGTTCTCGCACAATGGATAGTTCGAGGTATGAATTTAATACATAATAATTGTGCATGTATGAAAAAACCGTTTTTCCTCTAACTATGAGAAGAAAACTTAGTTTATCAAGCTTGAGAAATTTAAAACATTTAATAGTTTCAAAATTAAATATTGAAAATTTTTAAATTTGTCAAATATTAGAAATATTAAAACTTTTAAAATTT